AACATCATGAAACTTATTATACTATAACTACACAAGAATGACATGTCTTATATCATGTATAATGATCCATGGACACGAAATAAATGAAATGAAATGAAATGAGTCCATATATAATGAGAAATATATACTTTTCAAATTTTCAGTCTTGTTTGCGGTACAGTATTATATTATGGGGAGGGAATAACGAATGTGACAAACTCTTTAAACTGCAAAAAAAGGTACTTCGAATTATCATTGGAGTTAATAAATGAATGTCATGCTGACATATTTTTAAAGATTATAATATTTTAACATTGGCTGCACTATACTTTTTGAAGTGATATGTTTTATTAAAAAATATAAGTACTTTATGGCAAAAAATGTGTACATCCATAATTACAACATGTGAAGAAAACTAAATTTACATGTAAATCATTGTAATACAGGTCTTAAAAAAAAGCGTTATAAATATGGATATTGTCTTGTATAATAAGGTCCCTGAGGAGGTAAAATTAAAAAAAAAAATTAACTCTTTTTTAAGAGGGACTTAAAATCCTTTCTGTTAAAATATTCCATTTATTCCGTTGATGAATTTATGTCCCTTAAATTCTGAAGTGAGTGTGTTATGGTTTTATGTTATGACAAATATGTTGTCCTTGCATAATCTATATAAGAAAATGCTGGATGTTGGGTTTCTTTTGCTATTGAATTGTTGAAAGTGGGACGGTGTATTGTATGATTGATGTGTATGAAACTGTAGGTAATTAAGTTTCATAGTATTGTTGACTCATGTATGATATGTATATTATTTTAATATGTAGTAATTGACTTGTTCTATATCCAGAGGTTGTATCTCCAAGTATGGATTCTCGGAACAAATAAACTGATTGATTGATAATGTAAAATACATGACAAAGACATATTTTACTCTTTTATATCATTTGAGCAAATTTTCTTTGTTATTCATTTTTTTTACTGAAAGAATGTGTTTATTCTTTGTATTGTTTTTCCCAGAGACCTGGGCTTCATGGAAACAGTGTATGCAAGCAAATCTAATAAATGTAAGCATCCCATGCTACAGCCATTCAAGTATCTGATTGTAATTGATTTTGAATCTACATGTTGGGAACAAAATACAGATGGAAAGCAACCTGAAATTATTGAATTTCCTGCTGTATTACTCAATCTTAGGACAGGAATGATAGAAGAAGAATTTCATCAGTATGTTCTTCCAGTTGAAAATCCCATCCTCAGTGATTTCTGTGTTAATTTCACTGGAATTGAACAAGAAGCTGTTGAAAACGGAGTGCCACTAAAAACTTGTCTATCTCTTTTCGGTTCTTGGATTAAGGAAGTCTCAGAGAAGAGAAGATTGGTATTTCATATTAATCAGAAAGGGAGTAGTGCAGAAAATGCTTGCACATTTGTCACATGGTCAGGTAAGAAGAAAATATGTGTACCTAGAAATCAGACATGTTGCTGTTAATTAATATTTTAAACAATTGTTCCTTTTCATCATATAAGAATGGTTTTTGTTTACTGTTTCTTTTGTATGAGCATGAAGCATGGTTTCTCCCTTTGTGGAAGGAACAGAAATTGCAGGCTATTGAGGGAGATGAATTAACAGAAGAATGGAGTTTACATAATGAGGAGCTGCACAATTTGTGTTGTTCACCTAATATTTTAACAGTGATTAAATCAAGGAGGGTAACAGGGAGTATCAGGGGGACAAGTGTTTGTAGCATTTTGTTAGGCACACTTTATGGACTGTTTAGTAAGACTAGGCATAATGGAGGAGGATTTGAGGTTATAACAATAGTGGCTACGAGGAGATCTAACTTCTGAGACATAATTCCATGTAGTCTGTTGAAAGTCAACCGATGTTTCAGAGGAAACACAACACTGCTTGCTACCTGATTCATGCTTGTTTCTTTCTTGGCTTATTCTTCAATCCTGAAGTTGTAAGCAGCCTGTTCCACAAAAATCTTGGTTGATTTTCAGTGGACTGCAGAGTGTTATATCACAGAAGACAGAACCCTTCATATTTGTAAATATTATTAAAACTGATCTTAAAGAAATAGGGCACAAAGATGTGGAGTGATCTCCACAGAAGAGGATCCACTGTCAGGCTGTTCTGATGACAGTGAGGAACATATGGCTCCCATATGAACAGGAAATTCTTTGCCAACCTTTAACCTGCTGAAGGTGGACGCATGCACTGTGTAGTTAGAGCTGAGATTAATAACAATGTTTCAGACTGGGACCTGTCTGTGTGTCTGCATAATGAATGTACAAGGAAGCAGCTCTACATGCCAGAGATCCTGTATCAGTGGACTGACCTCCGAGCTATATACAGGGTGTGTGTTCAGCAGCACCTTAGCAGTTGCAAATAATTAACAAATATTGTGAAGTATAAAAACATATCAAAGGTCACTTTACTATCTATGCCTGAGTCTGTGCTATGGCAGAGCATTGCAGTCAATGTGTATGCCATGTCACTGTCCTCTCGTAAGGATGAAAATCATCCTATTTAAGTTAACAAGTACATGTAAATGTGGAGAGGGATAAACAATATTCACTTTAATATTATGGTCTTTGGTGTTATGACATTTTATTGAATGTAGTATGGTAGATAGTTTCAGAAGAACATAATGACTCCATCTTTGGGCACAAGTAGTTCCTCTGAAATGTTGGTACCTATCTACCAGGCTACTCACTGTCATCTCAGAAGACAACAGTAAGAATCTTCACTATGTAATCTTTTCAAATTTAAAAAAATTCATTTTCTTCCCATCACACAATCTAGATAGATTTCTTAATGTTGCCCTTCCACTTAAAGCAATACAGATATACTTATACTATCTACTGTAATCTATCGTAAACAATTGTAAGAATTGTAACTTTATTCGCTTACTGTAATCAGCCAATGTACAGTAACTGACTTGTCCTATATCATGTAACAATGATCTATAGAGACGAAATAAATAAATAAATAAATACCTACAATCCAGCATTACAATACTAGTTCAAACCAGCAATTACTAAAAAACATTAGCCATTACTCAAAAGCACTGACCATCAAGTCAGTCAAATGATTTACCCCTGAAGTTAGCTCTGTAAAAGAAAGAGATGGAAAAGGAGTATGCATCTGCGCATGTGTTGTCTGGAAGAGAATATGCATAATTGAAAAAAATATTAAATTGACATTTCACTATATTCTGTATGAACCAGCACTGGGTTACAGAAACATCTTCTGCATGACCTGACATATCTCCTCCTGTGGGGTTTCCACTGCATTGTTTTCTTTGGAAATCTTTTTCATAAATTTGTTCAACATGTACTCACAGCTGTGACTGTCTATATCCTGCTCTGTTATACCCACCATTGGGTAGACTCAGAATAATCAAGTTTAATTATCAGCCTATTTTAATTTCTTAAGGAAATGAAGTAGGCTTATGAGATCACCATACTGTTTGCGTGTCTTCCCCTTTCAACCTTTGAACCAGCTGACTGATTTTCATGAAATGGGGTATTCATGGTCTGCTAATAGTGCATTTATTTTATTAGAATTACAAATTGTTCTAATTTGTTCAGTTTTAAGTTTCTGAAATTGTTTATAAAATGAAATTCATGTTTTTATATCAGCATTTTGTATTAATACCTCATAATTCTTTTAATCTGCCTCTTATATTTTACAGAAGTTTTACAAAAGACGCCCAAAAGGTCTTCGTGGTGCGTTGTCAGAGCTTGGCCTACAGTTCGAGGGTCGGGAGCACTCAGGTTTATGTGATGCTCGCAACACTGCCCTTCTTGCCTGGCGCATGCTCCAGGATGGAGCAGTCCTCACAGTTACAAAAGGCCTCAAGACAAAAAGACAGGCATCTAAAATGCCTCATTTGAAGACTGACATATAGCATGCACATTGTTTTGGTACCAGTATAAGGTAGACAATCATAAAATCTTTAATTACATACTGTAGAACATTTTACCTGCTAGATTTTTACATTTATAGTCATTCACATACTTGTAACATTAATCTAAAATATTACACATTAAGAGTATTATGATATTTACAAGAGTAGCAATAGTAATACTGAAAACTGTTATTTCCAGATTCAGGTCATACCAGAGAATACAAGAGAATGTAAAGGAGACTCAATGAAAGCAAAAACATGAAAAGAATACCACAGTCTACTGTAGCAATGAAATTAGGACCACTCAGTGTGATCAATACCCCACTAACAACACAAAGGAAGTCATCCATAACTGGTGAAACAAACACATCCATTCTTGTTGACCATGAAAATCACTGGGTAGAAGCTTCATTTAAGAATGTAATGGGATTGCTCAAATTTTCAAGAATTGATGAGAACCATTCCTGTGAGGTCCAAAGTTGTTTCCAGCCTTAGCATTCAGCTAGCACAAAGAAATATTACAACTCCTGATGGAATATTTTGCCATTGGCCTTATTCTAGTGCTAATGAACCCAACATCTTTGTAGGTGTGGTTCTCCTGCTTCTCACAGTGGCCTCCCTTCAAATCAGGGTCATAGTTTCTTCATCCGTCATCAGCACAAATACACAGGAATAGTACACACAACGAAGCTGTTTCTGTGGGGACTTCTCACACTTTCACTTTCACTAAACCTAGTGACCCAGTAATACACAGCTGGATAGTCCTGCTATGATGTGATGTGAGTTACACTGAGTGACTGGTTTTCATCTGCATGTATAGAGAGATGATAAAACAATGCAGAATGTTTCATTTTGCTTATCATAAGCACAGAAGTCTCTCTTGCTTTATGTTTATATGCAACAATGTGGCAAGTCTTGCTGAACATACAGTGTCATAGAAGACCGAAGTATGACCTTCACAGGTTCTTAAAAGTGCGGGAGACAAACTTTCCCTGCAAAAAGTTCTGAGATTACAGTAATCCACAAAGCTAGTACAAACAGAATGTATGACACTCCAACCTGATGGCTGTTTGGCAGTTGGTACGGTTGTCCACCAATCTCATCGACGTGGAAACCCATTGGGAAGATAACCGCAGCAAGGCAGAATAGTACCACTAGAAGAAATACATTTGTTTTTACATGTAATTTAAACACAGAGATATTGGGTTTTCAGACTTTATCCATCGTCCTGGTTTTAAGATAACTAAGAAAATCACGGCGTTTTGGAAGCTGGATCTGTTTCCGTCCTCAGGTGAGGGAAAACACTTATTCTGTTGTGTCCCTTAGAAAGAGCTAGCCTCAATCACTGGAGGCTAGCTCTTTGTAAGGGACACAACAGAATAAGTGTTTTCCCTCACCTGAGGATGGAAACAGATCCAGTTTCCAAAACGTCGTGTTTTTCTTAGTTATCTTAAAACCAGGACGATGGATAAAGTCTGAAAACCCAATATTTCTGTGTGTTATACACCATCGTCAGAATTCTATAGTAACTACATGTAATTTAAAGTAAGTAAATAAAAAGTAAAGCTGTCTTCTGGGATTTGGCACCATGTATATGTGGTGTTAACCCCACATATACACTGTGCCAAATCACAGAAGACTGCTTTCTTCATAGTCACCGCCGTGAAAGCCTCAAATCTTACAAAAGTAAAGCTATTCCTAAAACAGGCTGTGGAGGCCCACGGGGTTGTGAGACATCAAGCCTCTCAAATTTCATAGACAACCTGCTCACAGATGGCAATGGGGTTAGCCTTACATTCCAGTCACCTGTTACTCCCTGGAAGATTCCTGGTACTCATTTCTGTTAGAGGCTGAGTTGACCCCAGGGCCATAGTGCAGCTGGAAGGATTAGGTCAACTGACAAGCAACTCAAGCAACTTCAGTGACATCAGGAATTGAACCTGCGGCCTTCTGGCTTGTAGCACTGTGAATCAATCGTTTTAATAAAATCACAAATTTGTATATTGGGTTATGTGATTCAAGAGCATAGTTTTAGCTCAAATCATTAAGCACAAAACAATAATACCATTCACTGGTGAAAACATAAAGCACTGAAAATGAAGTTAGATTTCTTTATTTTTTATGCCTTTTTCTATCACTGTTATGTCAGTTTATTAGTTTATGTGCTGTCAGATTGGCCAGTAACATTTATGTATGGTGCATGATAGTGTCTACGCTCGGTAGAAATGACCTCTTTTGTTGGATTTGAAGTTCTTGTAGCAGCAGATAAAGAGAGTTCTGTATTCTGGAATATAACATCGTATAGTGCAGTGACTTCCGTTGGAAAATAAGATGTTATATTCCAGAAGACAGAACTCTTCTTGACCTCTTTTATTTTCATTGTTAAGAAGTCAGTTACTGAATTATGTCAATGAAATGGAATACTGGTGAGGGAAGTGATGCAATAACCGTTTTACAATTTTATAAACAGAATAACATTTGTTGTTAAATAACTTGTTCATCACAAATTCCCATTTTGTATTATGTACTTACTTGCTGTGAAGCCAACCCATCGAGCATATGGCACAACATTTCGATCCCAATGAGATGAAGCTAAGAGAATGATTGTAGTAGTGTTACAAATGCAACCAACAAATATGCAGACTAGAGCCAACAGCCACTCTGGTTGTAAATCTGGAGTGAAACATATTTGTGGTCGATTGTACAAAGTCATACAGGTCCACATTAATCCTAGGCGAGTGTCTCCTGGAGAAGAAGCTCGTGTTAATATAACGTGTCACACTCAGCTTCATGAACATTATTTTTTTTAATTAAACCAGCCTCACAGGTTATATATAATAAAGTCTAAAACTTCGTCTCTTATGATGCATAATAATTTTGTAAGTACATTTTGGACTCTGGAACCATAACTGAATAAATATAAATTAAGTGTAAAGTGCATGGTTAACCACTCTGCAATATAGATGACCATGGAATATAAACTGTAAGGCTGTGAAAGCAACATTTTGGAGGAATATGCTGCCTTAATGTACAAGGTTGAAGTGTGTAGGTCCAGTAACTGCCTTTGTTACAGAGGCAAGTTAAGGAACCAACTCTAGTCCTGAACGTACACTTCAAGGCTGACGGTGGCGGCAGCATGTTCTTCCAAAATTTCGGTATTCGCCCACAAAACTACACGATGCCACAGCCCAGAGGACAACAATGTTAATAATCACAATTTTGAAAATTCATTTATGGGGTTACAATTACATATTTACCTCCAACGTCTGTGATTATCCAATCTGGCATTGCTAAACTTACGATGGCAAAAACATCTGCTGCCATGAAGAGCGTTCCAGAAATTAAAGTTAATTTATCCATTTTTAAATCCCTTTACTGCTTCCAGCTTTTTACAGTTTCATTCCTGCCTACAACACGAAGAACACGAACACTCAGAATGCTCAGAATCATGGCAACCATGATCCTCAAACTTCGTACACATGTAAAATAGTGGAGGGTACCATCTTTCGCTGTAATATACAGAAATGTGCTCAAGCCCCACAAATATTTAATTTATTATGTTTTATTAATTATACATGCTTTTTCATAAAGCTGTGTTAGGTCACGGACTTCAGGAACCAATTGCAAGAAATAACAGGGCTGTTCTTAATTTTCGTTTTACCTAATAAACTCACGATGTTTGGTAATGCATGGTATAGTTTCATTCATTTTTATTTCTTTTAGGCAATTTGGACCCCCACACTGAAAGAGATTATTTAAAATTCCGTCAGAAGTTTCTTGTGGCGATATGTTTTACTCTAGTTGAAGGTATGCACTGGAACTGGAATGAACCACCAGCAGAAGTTTGAAGCAATTTCGCGGAACTGCGTAAATAAGATGTTTTCATCTAGGAAGCCGTGATATGAAGTCTGTTGTCTGTTTTTCGGTGGTATTTTTTTTTTATGTCGATTCAGGCGGATAAAAATGCCAATTAAAGTAATAAATTAAGTACACACTGGTTTACTGATTTACTCATTATTTTTGTAGAAAATCTCAGTGACAGACCGAACGTTAATTCACTTAAGCGTAGAAAGGTAATCGCGTGTTCGTCAGTAATTGGATGTGGGAGTTGTGTATTAATTTTAATGGATAAATGATTTTGGATATTTGGATCTCTAATGTTATAGCGCCATATTACCTTTATATTTTTGGTTGAAGTGAGTATCTTATACATCGTTTGAACATACGCAGAATACAGTGTCTTGGATATTTACGCTTCGGAGTTCGCGTAAATTGATAATTTGTTGAAGCCTCAGTGTGTTAGCTGGGAAACCGATGGTATTCCTTTTGTAGTGTTTAAGATCTCGGTTGCCGGATATACCAGTGTATTGTCATTTCTTAATTGAAGGGTAGAACTAAGTGAAGTTGGCACATAAATAAATGGATTAACACAAAGTAACAAGTGCAAAAAAAGTGAGAACTTCAAAACAAATTTCCAAAGGAAATCAAGAAAGAGGGGACCATGGGAGTTTACTTGTTTTCACAGTTATTATTGTAAGGCATCTATAGTACTCAGGTTTTATTGATTTCCTTAGTGTTGTATATATGTGTCTGTTGTACAAATTCATGAAATGATAGAAAGAAGAATCGTTTTTTGTTTGTAGATTTGTGGGATGCAGAATGACTCATGTGGTGGGCCTAAGTTGTCAGTAGGGTGGTGTGTGTACACAGTACTTCAGACAGCGTGAGGTGGTTACTATGACAAAGAAGGAGCTACTACTGATTTAATTTTTCATGGTGATCAACTGACATATATTGTAAGCACAAGGTTAGTATGTAATGGTTGAATTAGGTGAAGGTTTGATTAGATATCCATTTTTAACTTGGTTTTTAAAACGTGTTACATTTATAAACTTAATATTTATAATGAGTATATTGTTTTGTGTATCAAATTTAAAAACAGTATTAAAACAGTATTTTTTTCCAAACTTATGGTAAGAAACAGAATGATTAGAAACATGTTTTATTTGCAGATTGAAGTTAAATGTCAGGTGGAGGGGTGGGGCAGGGAGCGGTGTACTCTCCACTTCCACAGTCAATTAGTGATACAGATTCTACAGAAGAGGAGCTTAATAACATTGTTCATCAAAATGACAACAGGAAATTTGTTGTAACGAATAAAGATACAGTAGATAAGCATAACGGTATATGTTTTTCATTATACATAATAACTATATGATTGCAATATCCACACAACTTTTCAAATGTCTGAACAACTCACTGGGTTAAATAATTAAAAAAGTACTTACATAGTATATGTACTTTTGTATTTATTATCCTTGCCTCTGGAATGTCTTTAGGCAGGTTTTCTATGAAAAATTTTAAATTGCAAAACAAAAGAAAAGAATTCTAAATTACTGAATCAGATTATATACTGGTAGCTTAATTTAAGTGATGCAAGTATAGTATGAAATTTATACAACATAATTGGTGTAACATTTTACACAAAATGTTTGAGCAATGCTACAAGTATTAAAATATTTATTCTCACACTTTCTCATTATTGCCATAAAATGCTTTCCTTCCCTTTGAATTGTACTTCATTACACTTTTCAGTATCATTTCTTGTTATTCTTTATAAATGTTTGTTTTATTTTTTCTTATTAAAATTTATAATTTTCTTTTGTAATCAGTGTGTATTTAATTCTTTTCTGATGGTTTTATTTTTTAGTTTTGAGATCCTTACAAAAATTTAGACTTCAAAGCAAAGTTAAATACATTCATTAAAAAGAATATTAACATCTGTAATAAGTTAGATTTCAAAATACATGACATATGGAATATTTTTTTAGGTAAAAAAATGGGTGAATATCGGCCATTGGGACACGATGGGGAGGGTGAGATCTCCATAAATGGCCTACCAAATCGTGATTTGGTTGTCAGTGATGAGATTCCAATCATTAAGCCAGATGGATCGCTCCCACGTCACTTGGAACCAATGTCTCCTTTACGTAAAATTAGCTTCAGTCTTTCAATTCTTCTGTGTGGACTGACCATTGTTGTATTCCTGTGGCTTCTTCCTTGTGACTGGGCAACCTGCCCATCAGTGGCTCAGAGATCAGGCGCCAGATCCTGGGAGAGAACATTGCAGGGTTTAGGTGAGGTTATGTGTCATTTTTAAGTTCTGTGGGTCTTTACAATTTTAACCTTTATCGGACGAACGTCATCATATGATGTCGTTAAAAGTTAGGGCAGCTGGCCGAACGTAATCATATGATGTCGCGGATTCCACGCGTGTAAGGTTTTTTTTTAATATTATATTAAAAATATAAATTGTTGTTCTATTTACATAATTTTTGGTCATCACCTTTATAAGGAGACAGCCTTCGTTCTTGCATGATCTAATGTAATCTAGGGACGTCATATGACGTTAAAAGTAAGGACAAATTTAAGAACGACATCATATGATGTCGCGCATTCCACGCGTGTAAAGATTTTTTTTAAATTAAATTTAAAATATAAATTGTTCTTCTATTTACATAATTTTTGGTCACAACCTTTATAAGGTGACAGCCTTCCCTCCTGCGTGATCTAATGTAATGTACTGACGTCATATGGCCGAACGACCTCATATGATTTCGCGCATTGCACGCGTGTAAAGATTTTTTTAAAATTAAAATTTTGCTCTACTTACGTGATATATGTTCACCATCTTCATGAGGA